TTTAGATAAGTTTTTAGCCATCTTGGCACCATTTATCGTAAGAATCACTTTAAAAGCTTTTGAGTTATTCATCTAAAAAGAGAAGAGTTGAAAATCATTTTGTGTCAGTCCCACTGTCTTCCAACTGAGAAATGGTGAAACGAAAAATACCATTCAGGCTTTCAGTAATGTCACCAAATTTCATACTTCATCTTCAAAGTCCATTCAAGAACCATCAAGAGAACGGTAAATAAGTTTTAAAACAAAGGAACAGTAAACTTGATCAGGAGCTCACAACAGCAAGATGGCTCATCATTTCAGCTTAGAGCTAAAGACATATTTTATGGTTCAAAGTAGAAGCCAATAGTTTAAAAAAAAAACTCAGAGAATTCCAGTAATATCTCTTTAATCATTTCTAAGATATAACGGTTCAACGCTTACTCTAACCATTGGAAAATATTGCTGTTACACGAATTGAATAATTTTGCTGTTGCACCGGGTATATCATTTAAGAAATATAATAAAATAAGTTATTAGGATCTTGAAATTGAAAATGTGTGGTCTGTAAAACTATTGTCATACTGATGATAAATGGAGCCATGGATATGATTAAAAATGGAAATACAAGAATATTAACAAGCACTTGGAGACCCATTTTAAAAGAGTTAAAGAATTTTCTCAACTACACAGGAAATTATTATAAAATTTCAAAAAGAAGAAAATCTATTGAGATAACCTTAAAAAAACATATCAATCATCGTCATTTTAGATTTAGAGAGATTGGGTATTCAAACTTTTTCTACGTACACTATTTTTCAATATTTTTCAAGAATCTTATATTTACTTATTCTATTATATAGTTTGTCAGATATATTTTTTATTTGAGGCAATATCTATTATATATATATTTTTATATATATATATATAAATATATATATAATTTTTTTGAGATTTTTGGTGGATCAGTTTTAATATAATAATTAAATATTTTATATTATCAGGATCCACTTGGATTATATAACAGCTGATTTGTTACCTTTACTATATATATATATATATATATATATATATATATATATATATATATATATATTAAAGAAAAACCGACCACTTTAATGTTCCATTATAATAATTTATTTCACCAGAGCCCTTTTAAAGGACGCCGGATCAACAGATAGCACTTCCAAAAGATGAAACGAAAAATGAAATGAAAATTGATGGGTAAAGTAAGTTTTTGTAATTTAACATTGAGTATAATAGGAGTAGTTACAGAGACATGGTAGAGTTTAGGGAGGGTTAAATTTAATATCTCTCTCAATCATACTTAGTATTGTGGGAGGAGGAGTGACTAAACCTTAACCTATTTAAACGGTTAATTTAACGGAAGTGATGTATTGAAATGGGAGGGGAGAAGAGAGAAAAGAAAAAGGAAAAAGAAAAGAAGGGGGAAGTAAAGAGAAAGTGGCTGTAAATGAGTTTTACATATGAAGGAGACGGGTGGTAAGTTCTAGCAATTTATGTCAAAAATAGATTTTAATGTTTCATAGTAATTTAGATGTCTAAGAAGTAATTAATTTGATGCTTGCGAGCAATTTAAATATTTAACTATTTTACAAATAATTTAAGGATTTAATATAAGTAAAATACTGTATTTATTAACACATTCATAGAGAACACATTAAAAAAAGTTTTAAACTATAACAATTTGTTTACCCGATCCGGTTGTATTTTAATATTGTAAAAGACAGTTAAGGTAAAATCTTTATCAATTTGAATCTAATTTATGAATGTAATTTGTATGATTTTACCTTTACTATATATATATATATATATATATATATATATATGGGAAAGATAAAATCATACAAGGAGGTCCGAGATTTACTGAGCAAGGTCGGATTTTAAAGTGGAGCGCGAGTTTTTTTACCGGGTCTGCTGGTCTAAGCCCGTCTTATTTTTTTCTAAACTGGTTAAAGCTTGTCTAAGCTGCTCTCAGTTGATGAAAGCTTGTCTAGGTTAGTCATAGCCAATATACCACCGCTGCGTAACAGATGTTACGCCTTGTGAGAGGGACGCAAGGGAGGATACTACATCTGCAGATTTCTTTTTCATCATTCATCATATATATATATATATATATATATATATATATATATATATATATATATATATATATATATAACCTTCTTTGCTCTCCTTCATTATTTATGTTGTAAATTAAATGTGTAGAGTGGGGTTGTCTCCTCACCACCACACAGATTTTCCATCAGTGACCATGGCTTGGGCAACAGTTTTTGGTCAAGTCAAAAGTCCCCGGGTCCGACAAAAGCCATATTCCCCAGATCTCGTCCCCTGCTACGTTTCCTCCCTCTTTCCAAAAAAGCAAATCTTACTTGAAAATAACAGGATTTCAAGACGTCGAGGAATCCAAGAGAATACATCGTGGCAGCTGCTCACTATCCCCAAAACACGAGTTCCAGGAATGCATCCAACAATAGAAACGAGGCTGAATAAAGTGTGTATATTCAGAAATGGACTACTTCGAAGGAGGTTAAATGGCGAACTGATATGTGTTGTAGTTTTCTGTTTAGCACCAGTCCCGATTCTTTTTGATCACTCCTCTTATTTTGGGGAAAATTTAGAGGAATTCGATATGGTTATTATGGATCTCTGATTGAAGGATTGAATTATTCTGTGTTTCCAGACATCATCAGTGTTCGTTCTCGATAAACAGTTAAAATCCATAATTGTTTTTTTTTTAAGGCACACAGGTCCTTCACGCTTGCGAGATTAACACAGCGCAATCAAACTCGATTGTCTCCCATCTGGTATTGTACCACAATGTAAAACATAGTAAATATCTACAACTACTTGATTGCTGAGGTGGATGCATAGACCTTCACTAGCGTCGTTTTTGATTCCAGCTATAGAGTCGGAAGTTCAGGTGATATATTCACAAAACAGGCAAGCCTTCCTTACTTAAATAAGGGCTAACTGGGCACCTCGACGTGGTGTAATTGTTAGAAAGTTTGTCTTGCTAGACCAATTACGACTGAGTAGGAAGTTCAATCCTCACTGGATGCCCCATACTTTCGGACTTGTGCCACATCTAAGCTGTGCTTAGAAAACCAATATCTAAAGGGCTTCCTACAATCTATGTCAATCTATTGCCCCTTCACAATGGGTTTAGCGCCGAAGGACTCCTGCGATAGGAAAATTTACGTTAGGCTCGTTAGATTTTAATCATTTCACTCCCAGCACAGAGATAAAGTAAGTAAAGCGCAGGTGGGCGGCTATTGAGTGCGTGAGAAAATGAGAAACGGTATTATTAAGGCCAGAGGACTATAGAAGAGGAGGAATTCAGAAGACAGAAAATTACGATTGACATTTCATTAAAATTTTGTTAAGATTAAAGTTGACTGAGATGCAAGACAGGAGAAAAATCCACGAATGAAAAGTGAGAACGAATTAACTGGTAGCATAGAAATTACGGTTACATCTAGCCATTTAAACTGTAAAATTATTTTTTGTCTTTATAGCATCAGTCAGAACTTGTAATAGAATGATATTGTACTTCATTTTTAGAGAAATAAACTTGACAATACTTTAAGCGAATTTTTATGACTCAAATAAATTTGAATAAGTGTTATTTAGCCTTACATAAAACTAATTCAGACTGTGAATAAAGGAAGTGTTCTGACGCTTTCCGTCTAGCATTGTTAATTACATGACAGTAGAAAAAAAAGAGGTTTTCTTTTTGGTCTTGAGAAATATATTTATTTTTAAAAGAGCTTGATTCTACACGCCGACCAGACAGCGATTTGACTTCAAATGACCTTGTTTCCCGACGTCACTCAGCCGCTGGCCGTTTGACCGTGGCATAGAAAGAGCATTCCTCATGGGAGACAATTGTCGTGCGAGCACACAGTTTCGTTCTGGAGGGGGAAAAATTCAATAAGTGCGTGAAACTTCAATTTCTGATTCTATATTTCGTCGTCAATTGATTTTGTTTATCTCTCTTCGAGCCAAGGCGCTCGCCACTTGATCATCCCCTAATAAAATTCATTGTCGATGGTAGTGACTTTATAGTCAAAAAAATAGTACGTCTTCCAGCGACTCTAATAGTTCTAGTTTCAAGAACGATTACTCTCATTTGCCGAGTCAGTATTCCCAAGGATTTAATGTAAAAATCAAAAGGTTATCTCGAGAAAATATTCAATTAATCATGACAATTACATAATAAAAAATTAGAATCACATATAAACAGAGTAATAATAATAATAATAAATAGATAGATACGAAGAGACATAGCTATTGAAGAAACTGAAATAGATAGATAGATAGATAGATAGATAGATAGATAGATAGATAGATACGAACAGACAGATATTGAAGAAACTGAGATAGATAGATAGATAGATAGATAGATAGATAGATAGATAGATACGAACAGACAGATATTGAATAGATAGATAGATAGATAGATAGATAGATAGATAGATAGATAGATATTTAAAAGATAGATGAATGGATATATATTTAAAATGAAGAAACTGAAATAGATAGATAATGATGAAATAGATAGATAGATAGATAGATAGATAGATAGATAGATAGATAGATATTGAATAAACTGAGATAGATAGATAGATAGATATGAAGAGACTGGGTTAGATAGATAGATAGATAGATAGATAGATAGATAGATAGATATGGAAGATTTGATTAGATTTTATGGGTTTTCTTCCATAGATAGATAGATAGATAGATATGAACAGACAGATATTGAAGAAACTGAGATAGATAGATAGATAGATAGATAGATAGATAGATAGATAGATAGATATGGAAGATTTGATTAGTTTTATGGGTTTTCTTCCATATGAACTTTATGGGTCATTTAATGCCAAATGTTTATATATATATATATATATATATATATATATATATAATATGTATGATTTGTACATAAATGGTTTATACGTACATCGTTTTTCCTCTTTGTTTGGCAAGCAGCACATATTTATCTACACAGCAACCCTAAGTTTCTACATCCTTTGTTATAGTCCCATCTCTTTCAGAGATCCAAAAATGGATCAACCAGTTCAAATAATTTTTCCTGGCTGATGACCTGGTAATATTTAAGACGAATTTCAAAAAAATCAATATACTTCGCCAGTATGTGTTCAACTGTAGGACGTTCATCGCATCCCAAACTGAATGGAGCATTCTCTCCTTTAAGCAAATGAGAATGCGTTAAATTGTTTGGGTTACTTCTTCCTTTTCCTTTCTCACTTTTCTCTAATTCTGGTAGGTCTTGATCGTTGCTTGAATCTTTTTTTTAATTTGTTGTTTACACATACATCCCTTAGAACTTGCCATTTATTTATTATAAATTTATTAATTACTGGTTTCGAATCAGTGTGTGGAAACTTTTGCGTTTGTTTTGATGCTGTATACCAATTTTTAGTAACTTTATTCACTTTTTCTTTTCCCCCAATGCCAACATGTTCCCGTATCCAAGGGAAGATGATCACTTTGGTGTTAGAGATTTTACTCATTCTGTTGTTAAGTTGAACAACTAACGGATTTTTCATATTTTTATTTTATTTTGTAGCGCCTCAAGTGCGGACTTTGAATCTGTGCAAATCGTAAATTTGTTTGGTCTGCTGCTTTTGTTAATGTCCAATGACATATCAATGGCTGTTAAATCGGCGTTATAAATTGATGAAGTCCTTGACAGTCTCTTTGTGTATTCTTTTCTGCCATAGATGGCAGCACTTACCACTGCGTCTTCATCCTCAGATCCATTTGTATAAATAAAATCATAGTCTGAATACTGGTCGTTTATGTTTTCATGTGTTTCGTGAAATATAATTGGATTCGTTTGTTCTTTGATTATTTTGTCAAATCTAATATAAAACATGGTTATTTCAATTGCCAGGGTGGAATTTTAGAGATTATTCATTGGTTTCTCTGACTAGAGTTCATTTCCCTTTCTCTAGTGACCTCTCTGATACAAAGACTGAAGAGTTTAATGGCCTTAGGTTTGATCTCAAACAGGGTTTTGTACTGTGTTTTAAATACACAATCATAAACAGGATTTGAGAGACACGATGATAATTTGGTAACGCACTGAAGTACCAGCTTTTGTCTCCTCAGTGATAGAGAGTTCTCATTTACTTCTATATATAGGCTTTCAACTGGAGGTGCTGAAAACACCCATTGCTAGTCGCAGACCTTGATGATGAATTGTTTCTTATTTCCTGAAGTATGAACGTCTTGAGGCACCATAGATTTTCAGGAGTGCTTTCTTATCAGCTCCCAATCAGTGTGGGCTATAACTCTGAGTAAATTGATTGTCTTGTTACATTTTAGTCTCAGGTAATTTATATGGGGGTATGATCAAATATAATACCCCAACACTTATATTCATTTTTTATTGGTATTTCCCTCCGACTCAGCTTCAATTATGTGTCATTGTGCACTTTGTGGAGGTTGCAGAAATGGACACACTTTGTTTTGATTTGAGAACATCGAAAGCCATTTTCTTCAGGCTATTTACTGACCTTATTCAAACAGTAAATTTGCGCTCTATGAGGTGCATATGTTTTGATCGGCAACATATTAAAATATCATACAAATGCAGTGAACAATCAACTCCCGTATTGATGCTTTTGACAATATTATTAATTTTAATATTGAAAAGGGTCACTAACAAAATGCTTCCTTGAGGCAAACCGCTTTCTAGCTCTTTTACATAAGAGAAAGTGGGTCCCACCCGTACTCTGAAATTCCGATTTTCTAGTAAGCTTTGAATGAAAAGTGGCATTCTGCCTTTTAACCCGAGGTGTCGAAGATCTGTCATGATTCCATACTTCCATCTGGTGTCATACTTCTTATTCCAAATCGGAAAAGATTTCAACTAGTTGCTCTTTTTTAATGAATTCCTCCATTATGAATGTCACTAGCCTGGTCAGTTGTGCTTCTTTTGTTCCTGAAACCTGAGTGTAATTCTGATATTAATTTTTGTTTTGATTCAAGGTACCCCGTTAACCTGTCATTGATCATCCATTCTAACTGTTGGGGCCACCCACCTTCTGACTGAGAATGGACTGATCTCTCTACGATATAGGACAGTGCTAGAGAGATCAGGGGAGATCACGAGTTCAGAAGATCACGAGTTCAAGAGATCTAAGAGATCAGGTGACCATCTCACTTCCGTCTCTCGACCGGAAGATACCGTTGGACTCTAGACTCTTGCTGATTGTTACTACTAACCTGCTTTCGTTATTACTAACCACTCTGTTGTTAAATACCTCTTCAAATATACCAGTATTTTTCCCTACATCTGTGTTTGTCTTTATTTGAATACACACACGCGAGAACACTCCCAACATCTCAACACTAACACTTTACAAATACAACTTCTTAGAGATATTAATCTAAAATGTGATGCATTGGCATTTATTTAATCACTGGAACATTTACTGAATTTTGGTATGCCTTTCACCGTTGATTGTTTCCAAAGATTTGAAACTTTCCCACTTAACCATATTTTGTTATAGATGTCTAAAAGGTACCCTAACGTTACCTGGGGTACCTGTTTTAGAAATTCATAAGGAACACGATCAGAACCAACTGCCGTATTGTGTGTTTTTCTTAATGATTTGTTACGTCTTTCTGTTTTTTTGAAAATTTTCAGTTTGATTTTTCGAGGCAGAATTCTGCGAGAAATTGTCTGCTAAGAAGTTAGCTATATCATTCCTGTTGGTGATCTTCGGGTTGTCTTTGGTGCGATCTTTTATTAGAGCGTTAGTATTTTTGTCCAGGTATCTTTTTCATCATGTTCCATATATTATATAATTCTTCCATGTAGTCTTTTTAACTTCCTTAATAATTCGTCGAGCATTGGCTCTTCTGTTTTTAAATTAGTTGAGATTTTATTTGGTAGGATTTAAATTATATTTTCTCAATGTGGTGCGAATTGTTCGGATAGCCTTTAGGCATTCCTTGTCAAACCAGGGTTTGTGGCATTTTGTTGGGGTACACGATTTTGGTATATTTACTTCAGCTATAGTTGTAAATGTTTTGGTGGAGTATGTCAGATGATCTTCTTTATTAATATTTGCTTCTGGTATTAATTCTAATTGACACTGTCTTTGAGATTGCACCCAGTTACCTTTTACATAGTTCCCACCTTGGTATTTTCTCATCAACTTGTGGTCCTGTACTCGACAAGATGATTGGAAAATGGTCACTTCCCAGGTGTCGTCATGCACGTTCCACGAGTAATCGTTGGATCATACAGGGTCAAATCTATTGCTGAATATGACCCCGTTGCTGGATGTAGGTACGTATTGGTCTTATCATTGTAGAGACAAAAGTCTTTTTTATTCTTAATATTTACTATCATCTGGACCTTTTTCTTTGTCTATCTTCTTTCCCATATTTCATTACGGTAGTTGAAATCTCGCAGTAGTATAAAAAGGTTTGGGGAATTGTTCTATTCAATGATCTACCTCTGATTGGATGTTGTTGCAATTTAATGGTATATAAACGGATCAAATAGCTATTGTTTTATGCAGCGTTGCTAATACTGCAATTTTCCTGTATGTTTGTGTCTAGAGAGATCTGCTTTTGTGGAATTTTGTTATTGACCATAATTGATGTATCGTCTGATGCTCTGTCATTATTTCTGTTTACATAATACTAAGTAATTCTGTATGTTCAGATCTTCGCCTTCCTTCAGGAATGTCTCATGCAGGCATATGACTACCAGGCATGTTCACATAAGGAATATCAGTTCACTGTGATTTGCCTTTGTATCTCCTATGTTCTACTGTATCATTTTATTAACCATAGTTTTATTTCTTACTTTGGTTTGTGATGCAGTTTAGTATCAACTTCTATTTTATTCTGTCTCTCGAATCTATTTGTTGTTTCTTTTGAAAAGTTTGGTCTATTTTTCTTTAAGAGTTTACGGTAGTTCCTTTGCATAAAAATAATAGCCCTCTAATAAAAGATTTTACCAAAGACAACCTAAAGATCATAAACAGGAATTTCCGGCAGAATTCTGACTTGAAAATCGGTAGTTCCCTTTGCCAATTTTGATTTGGTTTGGCTGGTGGCCCCTCTAGCACATCAACCCTGCTTATCATATTTTTTTTTTTTTTTGTTTTCAGCGCATCCTCCATTGGCTTCGGTCGACGTATAAGAGATCACTGCGATTTGCTCTTTACGGGGTAATTATTTGCAGGAGGGCCTGGTCTATTTACCGGCTCCGAGCCACTAACCTCGGGATTCTCTTTATTTCTTGATTCTTCTCAAGTTACGTTATAGACATTTCTCAGGTTTTTTTTTTAAAAGCTTGGCCAATCGTCCCTACTTAATATCTAAAATCTCTCAATCAGTTCAATTACCTGCTTTGATTTCGCTTCGCTGACATCATTCATCTTTTCTTTTTTTTCGCTATCGTGGCATATATCTGTGGTTTCATATATTCACCAACGATTCTTCAAGCTTCTGGAAATGATCCATTTTTGTTGTGTTTCGCCTGTAATATATCCTTCCCCCCTTCTGTATATATCACATATCTTTGAAAAGATCTGGTGGTCTCCTTGGCAGTTCGTACATCTCTCATTGTGGCATTCGTCTTCCTCATGAGAGAGGTGTTTTTCACCACACTTTCCACACACCTGTTGTCCCTTACATATGTCCTTATGGTACGCAAACTCCTGACATTTGAAGCGCCGTAAGGGAGCTGGTACACAAAGCCGGTTGGAATGTCATACTGAACCCTTTATTTCGTTCACTGGAGTAGACTGTTCTAGTTCCACGTGCCATCATTTATCTCCTGTTAATTCCCCTCTCCAAGTTCTCCACTGCCCTAACTGGGTATTGAACTCACACTCTTCCGGTCCTGTCACCGGATCTAACTAACGCCTTTATCTACTATGCCATGTGTGACAGGATACAAAGATTGTGAGTTCAATACCTGGTTAAGGCAGTAGAGAACTTG